CAGAGAGGTAAGAATGTGGAGGGCCTTTGTCTGGCATAATTGACATAAACCTTGATGAACAATTTGTCCCATTTTAAATATATTTGAAGCTGATCTCTGCAGGCACATGAATCATGCACAATTTCTATTTCCGTTATCATTTAGACTGCATTTATTTCCATTTGCAATGCTGCACCCAAAGGTAACATCATTTATCTGGTAACCACCACCTGCATTTGGTGTCTAAGAAGAAACACCTGGGCTCAGCAATTGCCTTTTACAACCCCAAGCCCAAAATATGATTATATGGCTCCACTACAGCCTGTCAATTTACTAGTTGCTAATAGCTCATTGGTGGGATTATATGTGTATTGTGCATACTTTTTAAATTACAGAATTGTGTGAATAACTCACAAAATTTTAACACAGTACCTAGCATTGCTTATCAGATATACTTTTTCTATGGGGATATGTAAATTCTAGAATATGTTCTATATTTCTTACAATAGAAAGTGGAATTTCCTCTAAATCTCATTTTTCCCACTTCATATCTTCCCATTCACAATACAGTGCAGGTACAGGGCCTGGACTGGGGTATAATGGGGTAGGTTTACTTTCCCTTATCTTTCTATCCAGTTAGTGTAAGAACACAGTAAGAACGAGGTGACCTTAAATTATCTTAAAGGCCATTAAAATAAAATCTTATCCCAAATCAGATGGAGATACTTACTACTAGAGAGTTTTGTACCTTCTTCAATAATTAAAGATAGCTAGCAAGATTTATAGACAATGCAATTTTCATGATGCATTGAAAAATGTGTTCTTTCAGCAGCTGTGTTTATCACACAATATCTCAAAATTGCTTGGCAAAATGAAAGAGAGAGTGGTTAGGGACCTTCCCAACATATTATTAAGGTCATTTTCAAGCAAACTGAAAAGTCTAAAGTAATCACAGAGTGAATACCCATGTGCCTGTCACCTACATTTTACAGTCAACGTTTTGCTGTTTGCTTTAACACTATGCATATATCCATCTCCCTCTCCATCTTTTTTTGATATTTTAAGTTGAAAAATTCAGTACATTTCATCACTAAACACTTCAGCATGCATACCATTAATTAGCACTCAATATATTTTAAGGTAAGATTTATCTAAAGCAGCATACACAAATTTTTAAGTTTTCCATTCAGTCAGTTTTGACACCCATGTAATGCCAATCCCTAACCAAGTTACAGACTTTATTTCACCCAGAATGTTGGTGCTAGTGCTTCTTCCCACCCTGCCCTCACAGAGAGAGGCAACCAGTGTTCTGAGTTTTTCAGCGTGGATTAGTTTAGTCTATTCCAGAGCCTTATGCAGTTCTAGAATCATGCAGTTTATACTTCATGGAAATGCATAGAATATATACTATTTTGCATAAGCCTCTTTCACACAGCACACTTTTAAAATTCGTCTCTTTTTTTGTATCTGTACCTATTTTAGTAATGTATAGTCATCTTCATGCTGTGTAGTATTCCACCGTATGGGCATACCACAATGTGTTTACCCACTCACTTAGCCATTTTCACCCAGACTGTTTCCACTTTCAAGTTACGATGAACAAAGCTGCTATGCACATTCTTGTAGAAGTCTTTTTATAGACGCAAGCCTCTGCTTTCTTTTGAACCCCCTGATGTATGTAATCTAGCATGGAGTCTGCACATAGTAAGTATTCAGTGTTTATCACCCTGGCATGAGATGTACATGTTGGATTTTATAATGTATTGGGCTTCCCCTGCTGTTCTCATGTGAGCTCCATTACTGCACGGCAAAAGGACAAGGCCATCCATAAAATGGAAGCTAAGGTACTGGCTAAGTAATTGTGAGAGGTAAACTAGAACCTAGGTTTCCAGACTACTTGCTCTTGAGTGCTATCCCAGGGCCAGGCAGCATGTGCTCCTTCCCTTAACCATTGGGCCTGTACCATGGTTTGTATTCTGGCAAACTAGAAAACTATGGCTATTAGCATGTCAGCAACAGAACTTAAGCATTTTTTTCTCTTCCACATCATCTTGTTTTCTTATAGCTGGGTGGTCTTAGAGTGAACCTGTGGGTGGGGGGGAGGAGCAGGTGTTGAGGAGCAACCTAAGTCAATCAGCAGTTCTTGTTGATGACTCTCAGGTATCTCCAATCAGAGAGACAGGCATGAGCTCCCTAAGTCTCTCTATACCATCAGTCCACCAGCCCCCTAGTGCTCATGAAAACCAGACTCAGACCTGGTTCTGCAATACATAGAAACATTTATTAACAAGGGAATTCATACACTATACTGAACACTCATACAGCCTGTCCCATAGACTTACAGAGGCTCTCATCTGTGCTTTGAGGCACTCCAGGAGCATCTTGACATAGTGGTCTGGTGGCAGCATTAGAGTGCTTGCTATTCAGTCCTGGAGGAAGTGGTAGGATACAGGGCTAAATGCGCTTCCAGACATCAGCCTTCCTTTGAAAGCATTTGTGAGACTAACCAAGCCCTAGACCATCTTCATGTAAACCTTAAGGTTTCTAAACTGATCCACCCTTCTTTCATATCCCTTATTTCATTATTGAAAGGGGACTTTTTAAATTTTATTTTTATTATATGCTTGTGGTGCTGGGAGTACATTGTGACATTTATAAAAGTGCTTACAATATATCTTAGTTAAATTCACCCCCTCCATCATTCTCCTTTGTTCCCCCTCCTCCCATTCTTAGAATAGTTTCAACAGGTCTCATTTTTCCATTTTCATATAGGAGTATATAATATTTCCACTATATTCAACCTACTTCACTCTTTCTTTATATCTTCCTCCCTCCTACTGGTACCAAGCTCCCAACATGACCTGTTTTTATCTTCTGGTCCTTCGTTTTTTAAAAGAGACATTTTTGTTTAAGATAGCTATACAAGGAGTTTCCTTGTGACATTTCCATGTGTATATGTATTATAGCCCAAATTACTTCACCATCTCCATTTTTCTTCTTTCTATGTTAGTCCCCTTCTTATGGTGATTTCAACAGGTTAAAAAATTCTATATTCATTCTTGTATAGGAAGTACACCATATTCACCTTTCTTCCTTCTTTTACCATCCCTCTCCTATAATGCCCTCCCCTTAGCATGACCTGTTTTTCATTCTTGTCCTTTGTTGTTTAGGCGTCTGTTCATTGTTCAGTGAGAATTTTGCCTTGGCATTATACATGTGCATCATTGTACTTAAGTCAATGAAACCCCCCTCCACAATATTTCCTTGTCCTTTTCCCCCATCCTGTGCTATTTAACAGTTTTAGTGTGTTTCCTTGTGTGTTGTTCCTACACAGATGTGATATATTTCAATATTATTTGTTATCTTTCTTTTCTTCTTTTCCTCCTCTACCAGTCCCTTTTGGGTACATATTCTGTGTGTGTGTGTGTATATATATATATATATTGTGTATGTATATGTATATACACACATACATATGTGTGTATGTATATATATATATGTATATATATATGTGTGTGTGTGTGTGTGTGTATATTTGTATTGGGCCCCCATGCCACAATTCCACATGTGAGAGAAAACATGTGGCCTTTATCTTTCCTAACCTGGCTAACTTTGCTTAAGATGATGCTCTCCAGTTCCATCCATTTACCTGTAAATGACAAAATTTCATTCTTCTTTATGGCTAAATAAAATTCTCTTGTACATAAATACCAAATTTTCTTAATCCATTCATCAATTGTGGGGCATCCAGAGCTTGGCTATTGTTAATAATGGTGTAACAAACATGGATATACAGGCATCTTTATTGTAACCTGACTTACATTCCTTAGGGTATAGCCCTACGGGTGGTATTGCTGGATCATATAGCAGTTCTATTTTTAGTTTTTTGAGGCATCTCCATACTGTTTTCCATAGTGGTTGTACTAATTACATTCCCACCAACAGTGTGTGAAGGTTCCTTTTTCCCCACATCACCAATATTTGTTGTTGTTTGTGGTCTTGATGATAGCCATTCTAACAGGAGTGAGGTGGAATCTTAACGTAGTGGAAAATGAACTTCTAAAATAACTTTACCCTATTTAATGAGCTTTCTGGTAGAGACTCAGACACACTTTAGTGATGCCACCTCTGGAAGCATTAACTCTGGATCTTGCAAAGGCTCACCAATACCACTGTACAGATTTCCACTCAGGGTGTTCCACATATGAATTGGAAACAGAAAGATGCCTTCACATGACTACATATACACATTAAAGCTCCCTCATGCCTCTGGAGTGTTTTATGTAAAACAGATCACTTTGGGAAGATACAAACTTTATGTGCTCTCCTAGTCTCTCTCCCAATATCTCTGCATTTTCATGAAAATATTGGATTTTCCATTTCAGGCAATCCTTTGAATAAGTATGATTTTCTGCCTTTACCCTTAACCTGGTTAGAACTCTAGTCTTGATCCTCATCTCATTCCTCTCCTCTCCCACCAATGACAGCAAATGGCAAATTGGACAGTGAAAGTGTCCACCTGGGGAATTTGAAATGCAAGTCTAATGTTTAAATGTAGCTCTGATTATGGTTCTTGGCTATTGGATGTGACTTTCATTTGCATAGCAATCAATTTTACTCATGGCAAACAGTACTGAAACTGAGCTGCGGTATGATGCTTTCAAGTGACTCATAGGTTATGAAAATGCCAGTCATTTTTGTAGCTATTGCTATTGGTTAAGTTTTTTAGCCTCATTATTAATTATGTCAATATAAATTTATTGTGATAGAAAATTACTTAGGGAATTTTTAAGTTACTCATTAAAATTAGAAATAGTAAATATTTAAGCTTGCATAGAATATACTGAGAGTTTGGGGTTCCAGCACTTTCCATGTTTGAAAGGTTGTCTGATAGTTTGAGAGTTGAGTTTTGAATTTCATTTCCTTTTCTTATTAAAATGTTTTTTTTTAATGCAGATACTTTAAAACTGCTGAGGCCAATAGGAGAAGGGGACCAGGAACTAGAGAAAAGTTTAGTTTGAGAAGAATTAACTTAGAAGGAAACACACATGTACAGGAAAGCAATGTGAGTCAACTCCCTGTATAGCTATCCTTATCTCAACCAGCAAAAACCCTTGGTCCTTCCTATTATTGCTTATACTCTCTCTTCAACAAAATTAGAGATAAGGGCAAAATAGTTTCTGCCAGGTAGCGAGGGGTAAGGGGGGAGTGGTAAAGGGGAAGGAAGTGGGGAGAAATGACCCAAACATTGTATGCACATATGAATAGAAAAAAACTTGAAAAAAATATTGTTTTTGTGGTTTGCAACAGAAATTTCTATAATATATTTAATCGTGGTGTAAAGACTTGCAGGTTGAACCCATTCAATGCCAATTTGTGGTTAATTCCAACCATTAAAAGTATGCCTTTGCTACATTCAGTATATAAAGCAGGTAAAGGAAAAGCCTGGTGTGGAATTTTATGTATACAATGGGAATTGCAACCATGTTGATCCAATATGGATGTCAACAAGTTCACCTGCCTATTGACCAAAATCCCCCCAATTCCCCTTTATTTTTGTCAATAAAGGCATGCTTTATTTTTGAAAATGCTTTAAACTCCCTCTGTCTCTTGATCCAGCTCTTAGACAATGTTTCCTAACTGGCTCCATAGGTAGTTTAAGGTACTTTTGGTCTGTAACCTATGGCTTGGTCTTTCTTCCCCCGCCCACCCCTAATCCCCTCTTAGTCTATAAAAAAAAAAAAATCACCTGTAATTCTTTATGTTAGAGAAAATAACTATTTGCATTTAAGGTATTTCTTTCTATATTCTTTTCCAAGCATATATAATCAAACATCAGATCACAATTTTGAGGTTTAATTTTACCCCTTGACATTTTATTTAACTGGCTTTATTATCAGATATTTAAGTTATTTGTAAGTTTTGTTCTTATAAATAAGGAATATATAGTGTGTTGGGTGGCTATTCAAATAAATATTTGAGAGCATATCTTTAATTGTCTCCTATGATGCCAAGAAATGAGGTTTTCATGCCCAAAGGCATGAACACTGTTAAAATTCTTGACACATATTGAAAATTGCTTTCCAGGAAATAGTGCCAATTTCCAGTCCACTAAAAGCATTTTAGAGTGCCTGTCTCATTGCAGCCATACCATTTAATACAACTAATAAGATAATGATATTCACTTGCCAACTTTATACAGTTTCTGAATTCAGAAACTTGATGGATGATGTGTGCTAGAATATCAAATTATGACTTACTTCATTTCAAAATTTTGTTTTGCTTTTGCTGGGAAGGAAACCTTTTTCTTCTCCCAACTTAGGACCAGTTAAGGAAGGGAAGGGGGCTGCAAATTAACTGACAATAGACAGATTAGCAGAAGAAAAGTTTATTTACACATGCAGGGGAGGGCTGCATGTAATGAACTCACTTTCATAGCTAGCTATAAAAGTTTATTACAAACTCAGCAAAGATAGAGAGGGAGCAGGCTCAGGCTTACATAAGAAAATATGAAGGTTCTGTTGGGCTTTTTGATACTAATGACAGGGACACTATGTCACCGTGGCAGCTGAATTTTCAGGAAACTCTCTTGGATAGGGGTCACCTTAATCTGTTTTTTGCTATTAAAACAGAGCACCTCTAACTGAGACATTTATAAACAATAGAAGTTTATGTGGCTCATGGTTCTGAAACCTTGGAAGTTCAAGAGCCTGGTGCCAGTGCCTGGCAAGGGGTTCTGTGCTGCGTCATAACATGGTGGAAAGGCAGGCAAGCATTCATGAAATGGGGTGTGTGTGGGAAGGTGAGAGACTGGTGTACATGACAAGAGGAGGAGCTGTATTAGTCCATTTTCTTTATTTTTCAGGAGTTGCAGAGTAAAAGTTTCGTAGATGCATAGAGTGTACTTTAAACAAGTTTACCACAGGCCCAAACTCCAGGGATTCCACAAAGACATGGTAAAGGCACAGAGAAAGGAAATTTATTATGAAGCCCAAGACACACCATAGGAAGCACTCAGCCCTTCTTCAGCCATCATCTTCAGGGTACAGACATGAGCTGTAAGTTTAACTAGAGAATCAGGGGCAAGGGAAGAGAGATATACATAATTATTGAGCAGTCCTGGTCACAGGAATGCTCCTGTGGATCATTGTGTCAGTTCTTGTTTTTGGAGGGATTCTGGAGCTGTTACCATTGTCATCACTAGACAGATAAACAAGACATTGTTGTCTGGTAGGTGGTCTGTTCTATGGGTCTCTGCTGTTGCTTTCCTTGGGGGAAGTTTTCTCTATCCTTCTTGTTTTCTCCATCTCTCCTAACCTTCCCTGATTCCCAGGTGGCTGTAAAGTGAATATCTTACAAGGAACACAGATATAAAACTGGAAAAAGGTATGCCAAACTCTTCTCCTGCATTTAGTTAATTTGTGGGCTCAAGAAAGGAGTCAATACTCCTCAGCAAAGCAGCTTTTAAGCATCTGTTAGAAAAGTCCAAGTTTGGGTGTGGTCCCATTGGTTCAATCTGTAGTGAGGAATCCTGGGCTATCACAACATAGTGGAAAAGCAGAGAGGAAACCAATCACATGCAGAAGGAGCCAATTGGGTGGGGTAAACTCTTTTTATGACAAATCATCCTCACAAGATCTAGCTCACTTCACTGAGGACACCTCTCCAATGAACTCTCATTGCTGTTCACTGCATCCTAAATCTTCAAGGTTCCACCACCACTTCCAAATAGTACCATATTGGGAACAAGCCTCCAGCCCACAATTCCTTGGGGGCACACTCAAACCATAGCAGGTTCAAATTTACAGCAATTCTATGATCTCCACAACTAACCTGTCCCTGTGATAGTCATTGATCTAAGGCAGAACCCTTATGACCTAATCACCTCTTGAAGGCCCACCTCTAATATCATTATGGCAATTAAATTCCAACTTGAGGTTTGGAGGGGACATTCAAACCATGGCAGGGGTTAATGCCAGCTGCATTGGAGAAGGTGGGGTGGTCGTTTTCCATTTGTAAGGAAAGCCTTTTATGTCTTCTGTATCTCAAATATTTCACTTTTAAATAATTTTTATGCCAACTCTTGGGGCTCTGAGTGGGTCTGTACACTTTCTACATGATTTTTAATTTCATAACTAAATGTGCTCAATGATGATTACACTTTTCTAATTAGGCTGAAGATTAGTAATACTGGCATTTTCTACCATTTTTAATCAGTATGTTACTATTAAGGAATAATATAGCAGAAGAAAAGAAAGAAATGTGATTCCAAGATGGCGGCTAGAAGGAGGAAGCAGAAAGCGTGCCTCCTACAATGAAATCTTGGAGAAACGCTGGAGACACACCTTGCAGGCAAGGCCATCAGGAAGAGGCAAAACTTTGACCACTCCACACCTCCAGCCTGTGCAGAGAATCTCCACTTCATGTTAAACGGAGAAACCAGGAGGGCCCCCAGGCCGCCTCCAGTCGCCTGTGCCCAGACGGCTTGGGAAGACGCAGACAAGGTGAGCTAAATGGTACATGGTACTTCCACAGACAACCCTGGGCCAGATCAGCATAGCCCACTGGACAGACCAATCCCCACCCAGGGAAAAAAGAGAAACTGAGTAATAAGCAATAAGAACAATAAAGACACGTGGGAAAGAGGGTGGGGTGCCCTGAGCACCAAAGAGGGGGGAGGGAAATCCTTCCCGGAACTGTAAATAAACAAGCTGGGCCTGGCTGGAGAGGGCGGGAGCACCCAGCAACCAGGAGCGGGAAAGCTTGTGAGAGTGGCGGAGGGAGGAAAACTCCACAGGAGAGGAGGGAAGACCCACTTCCCACGTGAGCTGTAAACAAACACACCGATCAGCAGGAGCAGAGCACACACCCAGCAATCAGGAGCAGGAAAGCTTGTAAAAGCGGCTGTGGGAGGAAAACTCCACAGGAGATGGGGGAAGACCCACTTCCCACGTGAACTGTAAATAAACACACAGGCCTGAGAAAGCGGATGCAGTGTCACCTCCCCCAGTGTGCTTGGAAAGGGGAAAGCTTGTAGCAATGGCATCACACACAGAACTCTGAGTAAACAAAGCCTGCGGGGCCAGGTGAGTGTTAAGCTCACACCTGAGATCTGCATGAATAATGCCGCCAGCAACAGCAGGTTGACAGCAGCAGGCAGGCAAGCCACAGCTGCAGATACCATTCTCAGAACTGTCTCCAGACTCTTTTTTTTCTTTTTCTCCCTACCTTTGATGAGAAAACAACCGAGCTACACCTGCATGCTGAAAAACTTAGGGAAACTGTATTGCATTTGAACTTGGGACACTTTGTGGGTTTGTGTGTGTGTGTGCAGTTTTGTTCTACTTTATGTCTCCCCTTTGATGAGACAACTACAGAACAACATCTGAGGCACCATCTCCAGGACTGGAGGCTGAGGGACAAACACCAAAATTATTAAGACTGAAATTTCATTGCATTTGAACTTGGAGGTTTTTATTTTTTACTTTTTATTTTGTTTTATTTTATTTTATATATATTTTTCTTTCATTTACTTATTTTTTAATTTTTATTCTTATCTTTACTCTTTTTATTTTTTATTTTCAATCCTCTGTCTCTCTAGTACCTTTTCAGCTTACAGTTGATTAGTACACTGTCTCTCCCTACTTATATCTTTGAAACTTTTTTGTTTGTTTCTTTGTTTTGTTTTTTTTCTACTTGATTATTTGTTTTTCCCTTTTCCTTTAACTTCTTTGTTTTCCATCCCCTCTCACCCTTCCATTCTAAATATCACTAGTGCTGTTATTACAAGCCAGAAAGTACTTAATTGCACACAGTACAGGCACAATAACAATATCAAGGGCAATGATGAGAAGACAGAAAAAACAGGGAAACCAGTTTCCCCACAGCAAAAAATTAGTACAGGAACCAGAGGGAAATGAAGAAAACAGATACTCAGATCCAGACTCCAACAAAATGAAGATAAACTATGCCAAAGAACCCAATGAAGCCCACAAGAATAATTTAAAAGAAGACATACTACTGGTACTCAATGAGAATTTTATAGAGATGATACTGGATAGGGTCAACCAAAATGTACAAGAGACACTCAAGAAATTCCAAGACAACAAAAATAGAGAACTTGAAAAAGCAAAAGAAGAAATAAAGGAAACCATAGAATCACTGTATATACACCAAAGTGAAACAGAGAACATGATTAATAAACAGATAAATGAACTCAGGACAAAAATAGACAACATTAAAGAGGAAACCACCCAGGATATGGAAAACCTCAGAAAAAAGAACAAAACAGAATAGGAAAACAAAATGGAAGGCCAATCCAGCAGAAGAACAAACAGAAGACAGAATCTCAGAACTCAAAGATGAAATGGTAATTAAAGGAAAAACTGAAGAACTATTAATTAAACAACTCAAGACCTGTGAAAAGAAAATGTAAGAACTCACCAACTCCATCAAAAGGCCAAACTTGAGAATCATGGGCATTGAAGAAGGAAAAGAGGTGCAAGCGAAGGGAATGCATAATCTATTCAACAAAATAATATTGGAAAATTTCCCAAATCTACAGAAAGATATTCCCATACAAATGCAAGAGGCCTCCAGGACACCAAACAGACCAGATCAAAATAGAACTACTCCACAACATATCATCATTAAAACAACAAGTTCAGAAACTAAGGAAAGAATATTGAAGGCTGTAAGAGAGAAAAAACAAGTAACATACAAAGGTAAACCCATCAAAATCACAGCAGACTTCTCAACAGAAACATTAAAAGCAAGAAGAGCGTGGGGTGAGATCTTCCAGGCATTGAATGAAAATAACTTCAACCCCAGGATACTCTACACAGCAAAACTATCATTCAAAATAGATGGAGCAATAAAAGTCTTCCATGATAAGCAGAAACTAAAACAATATGTGACCACAAAGCCACCACTACAAAAGATGCTGCAAGGGACTCTGCACACAGAAAGTGAAACCCAACTTAACAGTGAAAAGACAGGCAGCACCAAACCACAGGAAAAGAAAAATCAAGACAGTAGAGAGTAACCTCAACTTAGATACACACAATCAAACCTTCAAACAACTAAGACAACTAAATGACAGAAAATCACCACATACCTATCAGTACTAACACTTAATGTTAACGGAATTAATTCACCCATCAAAAGGCACCACTTGATGAAATGGATTAAAAAGGAAGATCCAACAATTTGTTGCTTATAGGAGATCCATCTCACTGATAGAAATAAGCATAGGCTTAGGATAAAAGGCTGGAAGAAGATTTACCAAGCCAATGGCCCCCGAAAACAGGCAGAAGTAGCAATATTTATCTGTAACAAAGTAGATTTCAAACCTACATTGATCAAACGAGATAAAGAAGAACATTCCATACTAATAACAGGGGAAATAGACTAAAAGAAAATAATAATTATGGACCTATATGCACCCAATGTCAACACACCCAATTTCATCAAACATACCCTGAAAGACCTAAAAGCATATATTAACGCCAACACAGTGGTTGTGGGAGACTTTAACACCCCATTATCATTAATAGATAGGTCATCCAAACAAAAAATCAATAAAGAAATCCAAGATCTAAAATATACAATAGATCAAATGGACCTATTTGATGTCTACAGAACATTTCATCCAACTTCTACACAATATACATTCTTCTCAGCAGCCCATGGAACCTTCTCCAAAATAGATCATATCCTAGGGCACAAAGCAAGCCTCAGCAAATATAAGAAAATAGAAATTATACCATGCATACTATCTGATCACAATGCAATAAAACTAGAACTCAACAACAAAAGTAAAGACAAAAAACATGCAAACAGCTGGAAACTAAATAACTCATTACTTAATGAACAATGGTCATTGATGAAATAAAAGAGGAAATTAAAAAGTTCCTGGAAGTGAATGAAAATGAAAACACAACCTACCGGAACCTATGAGACACAGCAAAGGCAGTCCTGAGAGGAAAGTTTATAGCCATGAGTGCATATAGTAAAAACTGAAAGATCCCAAATCAATGACCTAATGATACATCTCAAACTCCTAGAAAAACAAGAACAAGCAAATCCCAAAACAAATAGGAGAGAAATAATAAAAATAAGAGCTGAAATCAACGAAATAGAAACCAAAAAAAAACATACAAAGAATTAATGAAAAAAAAGTTGGTTCTTTGAAAAATTTAACAAGATCGACAGACCCCTGGCAAACCTGACTAAAATGAGGAAAGCAAAAACCCAAATTAGTAGAATCAGGAATGCTAAAGGGGAGATAACAACAAACACCATGGAAGTCCAGGAAATCATCAAAGACTACTTTGAGAACCTATATTCAAATAAATTTGAAAATCTTAAAGAAATGGACAGATTTCTAGATACATATGATCATCCAAAACTGAACCAAGAGGAAATTAATCACCTGAATAGATCTATAACACAAAATGAAATTGAAGCAGCAATCAAGAGTCTCCCCAAAAAGAAAAGTCCAGGACCTGATGGATTCTCTGCTGAATTCTATCAGACCTTTAAAGAAGAACTGATACCAACCCTCCTTAAACTGCTCCACAAAATAGAAAGGGAAGGAAAACTGCCTAACACATTTTATGAAGCCAGTATTACACTTATCCCAAAACCAGGCAAAGACACCTCCAAAAAGGAGAACTAGGCCAATCTCCTTAAAGAACATTGATGCAAAAATCTGCAACAAAGTATTGGCAAAACCGAATTCAACAACACATCAAAAAGATCATTCACCATGACCAAGTAGGCTTCATCCAGGAATGCAGGGGTGGTTCAACATACGAAAATCAATAAACGTAATAAACCACATTAACAGAAGCAAAGACAAAAACCACTTGATCATCTCAATAGATGCAGAAAAAGCCTTTGATAAGATCCAACACCATTTCATGATAAAAGCTCTAAGAAAACTAGGAATAGAAGGAAAGTACCTCAACATTATAAAAGCTATATATGACAAACCTACAGCCAGCATTATACTTAAGAGAAAAACTGAAACCATTCCCTCTAAAATCAGGAACCAGACAAGGATGCCCACTATCTCCACTCCTATTCAACATAGTACTGGAATTCCTAGCCAGAGCAATTAGGCAAGAAGAAGGAATAAAAGGAATACAAATAGGTAAAGAAACTGTCAAAATATCCCTATTTGCAGATGACATGATCCTATACCTTAAAGACCCAAAAAACTCTACTCAGAAGCTTCTAGACATCATCAATAGCTATAGCAAGGTAGCAGGATATAAAATCAACATAGAAAAATCATTAGCATTTCTAGACACTAATAATGAACAAAATAAAAAA